CATCATCAGCCCCTCACCCAAGCATGGCAGCGCAGTTGTGCTGACCAGTCCTGTTCACAAACAGGTAAACTGAGGCCCAGGTTGGAGGAAGGAGCGAAGTAGAATGACCCGAGGAAGGGTGAGCGTCTGCTCCTGCCCACGCCCTGCCTCGAAAAGCAGGGTCAAAACCCCAGCACCCCCGGGGGCCAGTGTGGACCCAGGGCAGTGGCCTGAGTCACAGAGCAGAGAGGGTGGGGACGCCGCCACAGTCAAGGGCAACAGAGACCCAGGGGAGGGGGTCCAGAGGTGCCAATGTATCAGGGAAAACTGGGAATCCAGATTCTTTCACTTTTTCAGTTGTGGTAAAATGTATGTAACATCCGGTTCACCATTTGAACCTCTTTAAGTGACAGCTCAGTGGCAGTGAGCAGCCATCACCACGTCCACTCCAGACATTCTCATCACCCCAGGCTGAAGCTGTGTCCCCACCCCTTCTCCCCAGGCCCTTGGCATGCACCATGCTCCTTTCCGTAGGTCTGACTCTCCAGGGCCTCACACAGGGTATGTCTGACTTACTTGTTTTGGGCACTGGGGATTGAATGTGCTACCACCAAGCTGTATCCCCAGCCATTTTTATCTTTTATTTTGACCCAGGGCCTCTCTAAGTTGCTGAGGCTGGCCTTAAACTTTCAGCCTCTTGCCTCAGCCTCTTGAGTGGCTGAGATGACAGGCCTGCATCACTGTATCTGGTGACTGGCTTCTTTCGTTTGGATGATGTTCTCAAGGTGCATGTTGTAGTGCCCATGTGCTCTGAGCCTCAGTCCCTTCCCATCATCGAGCAAAGCCTCCTTCCTAGGGCCTTTGTGGGCTGCTGGCTTCAACTGAGTGCCCCATCCCTGCACCCTGCGCCCAGCTCCCTGCCAGGGGCTCCCTGCCTGGGTGGCTGTCTGTCCTCTGAACACTCCCTGCAGTCAGACTCCTGGGTCACCTGTTCCTGTCTCTTGTCACAGTTCTCATCCTGATTGGGTTGGATGTGTCCTTGAAGCCTGGATGGGCAGGTGAGGAGCATGGGGTTCTTTGGCCTCCAACTGCAAACAGCATCTTTCTGTCCACCTCAGCAGATCCAGGCACTGCCCGCCCCGCATGCTCTGGACTCCAGGGTTCCCGCCAGCCGACCTCTCCCTGGAACTTCCCTACCTATGGCCTCCACCCCAGGCCAAGAGATCTGGTGCGTCTCTCCCATCCCACCTCCACCCTGTCTGACTGGCAGCGGCCCCTCCTTGGGCAGCACCTCAGACCAGGGCTCAGGTCAAAGCCCTTGGAAAAGCGCTGCTGCCCTCAAGCCCACGGAAAGATGTACAGGGCCCTAGAGAAGATCTAGAATTGACCCCTGCCATGACCCCCACTACTCCCCTCCCCTTCCCATGCACCACCTCTCCTGGGCCTGACGATTCTGGCTTCATCCTGGGCTCTGCCGCTGCCAGCTGCAGGGATCTTAGTCTCTGCTCAGAGCTGTGGTTGCCCCAGGTCTCTCAGGACGTCAAAGGCCTTTAGCCTCCAGCTGGCTTTCCCCTCTACACCTCACCTGCCACTTACTCCCAGTCCCCTAGGGGCTCCCCACCCTGCCACATCCCTTTCTCTGTTTTGGTTTTCCCCATAGATCTTATTGTCTATTAGGACTAAATGATTTACATACTTTTAAAACTAGCTTTATTTATTTATTATTTTATATGGTGCTGAGAATTGAACCCAATGCCTCACATGTGCTAGGTAACTACTCTACCACTGAGCCACAACTCAGACCAATTTACATACTTTTTAAATTCTCAATTTTATTCAAAATCCACATCATGGGGGTTTGTTCACTGTGGTGTCTGTAGCACTTAGAGTCCAGTATGCATTAGGTGCTCAGCAATGCTTGTTGATTGACTCAATGAAGGCAGGGACACTGCCCTGATTTCTTATTGCCCAGGGCTTAGCAAGATCTCTGGCAGGAGTAGGTGATGCCTGGTTGTTTTGGTTGGATAATGAATAGATACCCCTGTTCAGAATGTGTCCCCTGACTCCTAGGCATACATCTGAACCGCCTCCACTGGTGAGTCACCTCTCTGGTCTGTGCATCACCAGCACCAGCTGTGCTAGCATGTAAATGTCCCTGCAGCTGTATCAGTCATCAACACCTCAGTGCAAGCTGATCAGCGGCCCTGAGACCAGACTGGTAGGGACATGGGGTGTGGGTGGCATGAGTGGGCAGCTCATCCATCTCTTGCACAGGCAAATCAATGCCCAGCCAGGATGCCTGCGTGGGTCTAGCACACGGTGGCACTCAGTAAATATTTTGTTGAATGGAGGTTGAATCATGCCAGAGTCCCCACCCCCAGGCCTTCAGGGACTCTGCTGTCCACACCCTGGGAATCGGGAACCGGTCTCTGGGGCTCTTTCCCAGGACGTGTGCCATGAAGTCTTCATTAGCATCTTCTGGCTTCCACAGGGCCTTCTCCTTGGGCCTCTTCCTGACCACCCCAAGGATAGCAACACTTGGGCTTGTCCTGCCCTTGGGGTCTCCAGGGCAGTAAGCCAGGTCTTTGGAAAGGCAGGAAGAACTGGAATGGAGAAGAAATGGGGAGGGTCAAGGGGAAAAGAGGTGGAGAGGCAGGAGGCTAGAGCCATCAGTGCCCAGATACCCCTAGAGTCACACCTTTCATGCTCATTTATTCACTCAATGAACACCCCAGTGAGACCCAATGTGCACAGGGACCAGCTTGAGGAGCCTCTCATTCCCCCAGCACCCTCCCACAGGGAGCCATAGCACAGTGTAGAGTGTGGCTCCAGGGCCCCTCTGTCCCACGGCCGTGCCCACCTGAGACACCTCCCTTCATTACTCATTGCCTCCTCCCACCTGGGAAGACGTGAGCTTCCTGTGGCAGCACCTGTGTCTTCTTCCCATCCCCCGTCCTGGTGCCCGGCTAAGGCCTGGCAGACAGCAGGTGCCCAAATGTCTGTCAAGTGAGCTTGTTTCAGGGGGAGCAGCTGGAGGAGTGCAGGGCCCAGGGGGCCAGGGTAGGGCAGAGAGGAAGCAAGTGCCCCCATAGCATTTCTGTTCTGCTGGGGAGGGTGCCCAGAGAAACGGCCTCCCCTCTGCCACTCCACATGGTCATTCTCCTATAGTGACCCCTGAATCCTGGGGCAGAGTCATGTACCCCCAGGGGCTCCTGTGGCCCCAGTCCCAGGCAATTCTTTGGTGGGCCAGGGCAGGGCCCTCTCTCCGCCATGTCTGTCTGCAGATCGGCCATGAACTGCCTCGGCCCTCCTGACATGCAGTGAGCATGGAGAGAACAGGGTGACCGTCCTCTTGCTACCCAATGCCTGCAGGCAGGCCCCACCAGACCCACCGTGCCAGCTGGGTTTTGCTGCCACCCTGACCCCTAAGAGACTGGGAAGGTGGGTAGCACAGGGGCTCTACCAGGGCAGGCTGTGCAGCTTCTGAGGGAGCCTGGCTTGCCCCAGGTTCTCTGACCTGGGTTATCTTGCCTTCCCTCACCAGCCAAGGCTCTCCAGAACCTCTGTCCAATCTCCCCTTCTCTTAGAGTGATGTCCTCTCCCTGTCCCCATGCTCTGTGGGGCAATAATGTCTGTTCTGCAGGCTCCCGTGTCAGCAGCCTCTCTTCTGGGAAGGCTTTGTCGGGCCAGGCACCTCCTCTGGGCTCCCAACATCCCCCTGCCCAGCCGTAGGACCCTGTGCAATAATAATAACACTCTGCCCATGGGACCCAGGCCCCAAGTCCAGTCCCAACAGCCTGTTTCCACCACTTACCCACCAGCTGGGACCTGGGGCAGATCACGCAACTCCCCAGGCTGCCTCAGTTTCTGTCTGCAGGATGGGGATGGAGAAGGAATTCGAGGTGGCATGAGGCTGCCCGCGGTGCATGAGACATGGTGGCATCAGTGCCATCCCTCTCTCCTGCCATGGCGAGGGCCCAACCTTGAAGGGCAGGGAAGGATAGAGACATACTCATCTCTCTAGGGGAGGACAGGACATCTGTCCCTGCTTGGGGTAGAGGGTGTCACAAGTGCAGGGTGTTGATTGGGAGGATTCACTGCCCCAATCTTGTCCCAGGTGGCTGCCACCAGGTAGAAGTAGATCAAGTCCACCCCAACCAGGGCTTCCCACAGACCAGCCCCACAGCCTTTTGAACCCTGCAGGGGTCCCAGGACATGGGGGTAGCAGACTCCAGTAGTCCCAGTCCTTCCCTCTTGGGCTTCCCCAGGTGGCCACTGGCTCTTCCCCTTCCTGGGAGTCCTGGTGAGAAGTGAGTTCTTCCTGGCAACCCAGTGACAGGGCTGAACCCCTCCAGCAGGGACAACAGGAAGGCAGCCTCGGGGATCTCTSGGACAGCAGCCAAGAGGCCACTGTGTTCCGCCACTCTGACCTGAGTCACAGCTTTCCGGGAAGTGGGCTAACGGGATTCCAGAGCCCTGGGTAGGACCAGGTCTCTGGGCTGAGTCACAGCAGCTGGGGCCCCTGGAGGCGGGAGCCGTTAGTGAGCTGGGCCCTCCCCTTGACAGCCCAGGCCAAGGCCACCATGCCCTGGGGCTCCCCAACACCCTGCACCCAGACTTTTGCCATGCTGGACCCAGCCCTTCCCCATGCTGGACCCATGTTCAATGCTGTGAGGACACTTCCTCACCTGGACAGTCAATGTCAAGACCACAGCCTGGACCTCTGGGCCCAGGTCCCTTCACCTGCCCCTCCAGACTTCATCACTGACACCTAGGAGCCTGGGCCCCAGCCCACCCATCGAGGCCTGAGGTAGAGCCCCCAGCCCCGGGTAACGGCTGTTTCCTCCCCGCAGCACCGCCTCCTCTGTGACCCACAGACTAAGCCACGGGGACTGGTCCAACAGCATTCCACCTCCCAGGATAAAACCTGGGCAACCTGCAGGGGACCCAACACACTACAGCCACCCGCCCTGCCTGTCCCTTGACGCCACCATCTGGCTGGGCCTCCACCCCTACTGGCCATGGAGGTTTCCAGACCTCCCCTAGCCCTGGGAGGGAGCTGTCTCAGGACCCTGACCACTCTGTTGCTTCTGGTTTCCACAGGTGAGTCCCGAGGGCTGCTGCTCCTCCTCCTCCTCTCTGTGCCAGGCTCCCCTCCTGCCTCCCTGGGACTCAGCAGCTTCCTGCCAGACTTGCCTGGAATCTGGCCCCTACTTTTCTCTCTCTTGTTCCTCCTCTCCTGTCTTCCTCTTTCTACCCCTTCCCCTCTCCTCCCTCTCTCTGACATGTCATCATTTTTGATACCAGGGGTTGAATCCAGGGGTGCTTCACCACCGAGCCACATCCCAGCCCTTTTTATTTTTTTATTTTGAGACAGGATCTCTCGAAGTTGCTTAGGGCCTCACTAAGTTGCTGAGGCTGGCCTCACATTTGCAAGCCTCCTGCCTTAGCCTCCCAAGTGGCTGGGATTACAGGCATGCACCTCTCTGCCCAGCTCTGGCATCTATGTAACTGCTCTGAACCTCACTTTCCTCAGCAGCTGTGAGGATTACCTGAAGGTGCAGGCGGCGGGCACTCAGTGTGCTTCCCTCTTGTGGGTGATTATCTCCCCCTCTTCATCTTCACCGTCTTCATCTCCTTCCCCTTGTCTTTCTCATCTCCCCATTACTCCTCCGTGGCTTACATTTGGGGTCAGCTCCTCATGTTCCTGGGGTAGGATGTCAGAGGGGAGGGCCCTGAGGACAGCCCATCCAGGCTCCGTGGGGCTCAGGGAAGAAGCCTGGGCACCCATGGTTCTGAGTCCTGAGCCTCCCTTTCCTCTCTTACCCTTCCTTCCCTGGCAGTGGACAGAGCAGGAGGGAGGATGAGGCCACCCCTGTACAGTGGGGCCTGAGCTCTGTCTGCCCCAGTCCCAGAAAGTACCCCTTGGGGGCTGGAGGGCCCCTGGGAATGAGCCTGCCCGAGAGGATGGGGGCTCCCCTGGCACTGCCCTGACTCCCTCCTTTTCTTACCCTCAGCCACCACCCTCAATGCCACCAAGATTCCTGGTGAGTGTGAGCTGATGTGCTGAAGGGGAGGAATGGGTGTCTGTGTGTCCGTCTGTGTGGGGCAGGTCAGAAGGCAGCCTGGGGTAAGAGGGGGACGGAGCTAGAGGAGAAGGCAGGCAGGGTCAAGAGTGGGAGGTGGAGGAGAAGGAGCCTGAGCAGTGGGGAAAGGGGCAGAGTCCAAGGGGACAGAGGGGCCCAGGGGCACAGCTGAGTGGGCGGGAGGGAGGCAAGTAGCAGAAGTAGCCTCAGAGGGCAGGGGGAGGGCACAGCTTGCTGGCACAGGCCGAGGATGCGGTGGCAGACTGTGGGCAGGGAAGACAACTAGAGATGGCGGAAAACTCGACCCTCCTTTACCAGTGTCCCCAGACTGCGGGAAGCCCCAACAGCTGAACCGAATCGTGGGTGGCCAGGACAGTGTGGATGCTGAGTGGCCCTGGGTTGTGAGCATCCAGAAGAACGGCACCCACCACTGTGCAGGCTCCCTGCTCACCAACCGCTGGGTGGTCACTGCAGCCCACTGTTTCAAGGGGTATGTATGGCCAGCTCATCCAGAACCCACGCTGGGTTCAGACCCAAGGCTCCCCATCCTACCCCTGTCCCCAGGCTTCTGTCTGATCTGCTGCCCTTCAATAGAAACCCTCCTTCTGCCCAGATGCCTCTCGGGGCCTTCTACCCCTGCCCTCTTCCCAGGCGTCCCCTCCTGGACCCTTCCTGGCTGATCCCCTCCCCCCTTTCTTTGCAGCAATCTGAACAAGCCATCCCTGTTCTCAGTGCTGCTGGGGGCCTGGCAGTTGGAGAACCCTGGCCCTCGGTCCCAGGATGTGGGTATCGCCTGGGTGCTGCCCCACCCTGGGTACTCCTGGAAGGATGGGACCCGTGCAGATATTGCCCTGGTGCGCCTTGAACACTCCATCCAGTTCTCTGAGCGAATCCTGCCCATCTGCCTACCTGATTCTTCTGTCCATTTCCCTCCGAACACCGACTGCTGGATTGCAGGCTGGGGGAGCATCCACGAAGGAGGTGTGGCTCCTCCCCACCCATGGGGGGGCCCAGAGCATTGGGGACAGTGGGTGGCAGGCACTCAGAGACACACTACCAGGAGGAGTAGGGGTGGAGGCCAGGGCACAGCATCACAGAGACAAGAGCTGTGTTTCAAGACAACAGCCAGATCAGAAAAGCCATTCACTGACACAGAAACGGCAGGAAGGGGGCGTAGGGGGCCAGGCTGGATTCAGGGTGAAATGAAAACCACCCTGAGCTTGCAAAGCCAGAGCAGACACCCTGGTGGCAGCATGCCACAAGTGCAGGCAAATTCCAGGAGGAGATGCAGTCTCCASTAAGTCTGCAGGTTTAGAAAGTCACAAAGCAGACGAACTAGAGCAAGAGGCAGAGGTAAGCAAGAGAAAGACAGATGACAGATAGACAGAGCCCAGGCSAAGAAAAAGGAACCCAGGCAGAAATGAGAGATGAGAGATGTGGGGAGGGCTGGAAGACAGAGACCACCAGGACAAAGCGGGAGGAAAGTGGGACCCTACCAGAGTCCAGAAAAATGAGGAGAAATGACATCAGCTCGTGCAYTTGGGGACTCCCCCAACTCTGAGGTTGCAGCCTCCCCATGGGTCTGTAAACCAATTCTAGGCAGAGTGTGGGGCTCCCTGAGAGGCTGATGACAGTAAKCGTGGATGGGGCACCTCTGAGCCTTACTCTAGTAGTCACACAGCACCAAGTAGTGCCAGAGACGGGAACCAGCAGGGCTGCCCTGTGAGCATCAGAGGACTTATTAAACATGAAGAATCTGACTGGGGGGCAGTGGTGCATGCCTGTAATCCCAGCAGCTTGGGGCAGAAGCAGGAGGATCATGAGTTCAAAGCCAGCCTCAACAACTTATTGAGGCGCTAAGCAACTCAGTGAGACCCTGTCTCCAAATACAAAAAAAGGCTGGGGATGTAGCTCAGTGGTAGCATGTGCGAGGCCCTGAGGTCAATCCCCATCAGTAGAGCTGATCTGTGGGCCCTTGAGAAGGGAATAGTGGGAACCTGCCCCTTGAGGAGACAARTGGGAGTGGAACCTGGCCGACTCTATCCTCCTGTCCCCAGTGCCCCTGCCACGCCCTCAGATCCTGCAGAAGCTAAAGGTGCCCATCATTCATTCGGACATCTGCAGCCGCCTGTACTGGCGCGGCGCGGGGCAGGAGGCCATCACCGAGGACATGCTGTGCGCTGGTTACCTGGAAGGGGAGCGGGATGCCTGTCTGGTGAGTGCCCACCCCTGCGGCCCTGGCTAGGAGGGGCGAGTGCCCACCCAGGGCAGGATTCAGTGTCCGTGCGCTTCCAGCCCCACACCTCTGCCTAGGCCCCCTCCCCAGTGCCTATGCAGCCGCTCAGCCTGGCCGGGCTATGCATGGACTGTGCACACAATTGGGCCCCCTCACTCTTAGGAACTTGCTTTCTGAGGGGGACCCCAGGGCCAGCTCCAGCTCCAGCTCCGCGGTGGCATGGAGGATGGCAGGGTGTGCAATGGCCCCGGGGCTTGGCCGGCTTGAGGCCCGCTTGCGGCACCTCTCCTGACGCCCACGTTGCCCGTGGGGCGACTCACTTCCTCCTTCTGATCCTCAGTTTTCTCACCTGCAAAACAGAAATAACGACGCCCCGACCCTCACCATCTGTGSTTTAGAAGGCGCTGCACACAGTGCTTCTCCCTTCGAGTGGGTCTGGAAGGCGTGTCCCGCCTGGGTCTGCCCCTCGCCTGCCCTTTGTGGGTCCCTAACCTTTCTTCTCCCCACAGGGCGACTCTGGCGGCCCCCTGATGTGCCAGGTGGACGGCTCCTGGCTGCTGGCGGGAATCATCAGCTGGGGCGAGGGCTGCGCGGAGCGCAACCGGCCGGGCGTCTACACCAGTCTCCCTGCCCACAGCTCCTGGGTGGAGAGGGTAGTGCAAGGGGTGCAGTTCCGCGGGCGCTCGCCGGGTAGCGGGGCCCGCAGGGAGCCGAGCGCGGATTTCCCAGCCGCTGGGCGCTCCTAGGGCGCTGGCACAAGTCGGGTGGGGTCTGGAGACCCGCGGCCGCCGGCGGCTTCCTGCGTTGTAAATAAGCCATCTACCTCTGGGGGGCGCTCGCGGACGGCGCGGGAGGGCTAGCCACGCCCACCGCACCAGGCTCCGCCCCCGGGCCACGGGCGTCCTCTGTATATACTGTTAATGGTTTTTACGGTTGTTTGTAACTCTGCCCACATATTTATTCTTCCAGTTTCAATAAATTATTTATTGTCCAGTTCCTGTTTTTCGCCTTGTATGAGGACACTGGGAAACAAGGGTCCGGGTGAGGTTAAAAAGAGGGGAGGCCGGTGCGAATTTGTACTTGGCTTGGCCACCCCGGGCTTAAGATGACCCCTGGTTTCCCACTAGGGCTCAACATCTGACCCCTGACCTTCGACCATCGCCCTTTCACCGGGAGCGGAGGAAGGAGGTGGGAGGTTGCGGCGGGAAGACCTGGCTGTGCTGGGGGAGGTGAGGGTGGGCTCTGGTCTGCACCGGCTGGATTTCCAGAACCATCCTGTGTGACAAACCCTCCGTRCCTGAAGTCGTGTTCCCTCCCGCTCCAGGCCAACTTCCCTCCCATCTCTCCACCTCAGGGCTCAGGGAGCCCCTGGCTGCCAGGACTGGGCTTGGAGCAGTGTCCAGGTCAGCCAGCATCAGGGCTCGGTCTCCTGGGWCGCACAGGGATGGGCCGGCCGCTCCTCCCTGCCAGGAGCCAACTCCTACAGTGACTCACTGCTGATTGTACAGACCCTCCCTGCCAAGCACGGAGCAAAACAGGAGGAAGCTGGCCTCTAAGCTCTGTGGGCACCATGGCTGGATCACCTCACCTGTCCCTGCAGAGGGCTGGGGTTGATGGTGAGCCAGGCTGTGCGGCCCTGCCTGGCTTCTCTCTCAGCCCTACAGAGGTGCCACTCCCTGCCTTGGGCCCAGTTCCTATAATGGTGACCATGCAGTGAAGTGATGATGCCCCAGGGGGTTGCAGGTAGGTTTCCCGGAGCATGTGAGCTCCTAGTAGTTGCGTGCCAGAGATTCACCCCAAACCAAGCCCAGAAAGCAACCAGCTCCAACATGCTGTGACGATGATACAGAGTGTTTCCATCCAGGATGACCCAGGAGTGACAAGTCTTTGAGGAGGCAGTGCAGGTGTGTGACAGGTGTATCAGGTGTGTGTGTGGCCTTTGTCCAGAGTACAGTTCTAAAATATTTGTTCATATTGTTTTGATTGCCTTTATGTTATTATCAAAAACAATAAGTGCTGTGGGGTTGTTTTCATTAAACAAACAAACAGAATCGGCCTCCATCATCTGGGAAGCAGCCTGGTGACACAGGTGCTCCAGGTCACAGAGCTGGTCCTGGCACAGCCCCTCCCCTAGGTGACCTAGAGCGCTCTTTGCCCATAACTGCCCCTTACCCTCCCCTCTAGCCTCCGGCCTCCCTTCTGGGCCACCTTCTGTTGCCCCGACTGCCTCCCTCTGCTGTTGCTGCCCCCTTTGCCAGGCCCTGCGTACCCTCCCTCATTGCCCCTCTTCTCTAATTCCCTCCCCTCTACTGCTCTGTCCTGGCCCTCGTCCTCTCACCCTGCATCCTCTTCTGTCCTCCTGTGTCTCTTGCTTCTCCCCTCTCCCTCTGAGCCTCTGTTTCCCCCAAGCCTGCCTGCCTCCTCTCCACCCCCTACACCTACTTCTCCCAGTGGGGTCCAGAAGGCCCCACTGAGCTGCCTGCCACTGGGTGGCAGGATGCTCTGATAAGTTGGGGATTTCTCTGGGTTGGGAGGTGAGCTTCCAGGTGGCCCTTCAGCCTGAGGGGAACTTGTGTGCCCTCCTTGCTGGTTCTCGGGGGCTCAGGGCCTGAGGAGCAGGCTGGGGTGTGGAGTTGGAGCAGCTCTTGGCTCCCAAGGGCACCAGGACTTCCCGTGACTTCTCTCAACATGGGGTTGTCCAAGAGTGGCCCTAGGCCCTGCAGGGTCTGACCAGTTCCTGCAGCTCCTGTTGTTGAGGGAGCTTTCTATGGGGGACTCTGCCAGAGCACAGCATATACACCTGCTCAGAGGGTCAACCTTGTCCCAGGGTGGCTGGTCGTACTGGCTCAACATTGCATACTAGCCCTGTGCTCCTTGGCTGGAGCCTAGCCCCAGAGAAACATGGCCCAAACATGGCCCACTTGGCCCACCAACACCACCTGCCTCTGGGGTTGCAGACAGAGRCCTTTGGGCCTGGCAGTCTTCTCCAGAGGAAATTCCACGTGTCCAGTTGGCTGTGGGTCCCTGGTGGGCCAATACACTCACCCTGGGCTCCTGGGCAGAGGTGGGACTGGTCTTTACTCCCAGCCCTGCAGGGCTCTCCTGGCCTCCTCAAGGGCAGGTGGGGACTTCTGGCCTTGGTGACAAATGTCATTATAGTAGGGACTGCCTTGGCTGCAGGCTGTGAGGTCTGACTTCCTCACCCATCTTTCCCCCTAGGCCTGGGACCTCCTAACTCTTCTCCACTCTGTATCCAGAACAAGGGTTTAAAAACACAAGTTTAAACACATGTTTAACCACACGACTTCCCCAGTGGCAGGCTAGGACAACACCCATTCCAACCCTTCTCGCTTCCTCCATCTTGGAGATCGGGATAGCTAAATGCTCACTACAACAGCTGCCTATCTGCCCGTGTAGCCACAGGGCCGTGGGTGGTTTCTTAGGAAGGTGTAGAGAGCTGCCCTGGATGCAGACCTTCAAGTTCTGATACCCGGGGCACTGACCAATTATTGCCTTCAGACTGGCACAATAGTGCCAGGTCTTGGGAGTAACTTGGGATAGCAAGGCGTGGCTCCAGGTGTAGACATCGCCCGTGGGGGTTGAGCTACACTCACCTCTTCCTTTATAATCCCACCCCTTTGCCCTTTTTAGGATAGAATGTTCCATGGAACCTCCTCTTGTGTGTTCCCTATATAAGAATAAAGAATTACTGGGCTGGAGATGTGGCTCAAGCGGTAGCGCGCTCGCCTGGCATGCGTGCGGCCCGGGTTCGATCCTCAGCACCACATACCAACAAAGATGTTGTGTCCGCCGAGAACTAGAAAATAAATATTAAAAATTCTCTCTCTCTCTCTCTCTCCTCTCTCACTCTCTCTTTAAAAAAAAAAAAAAAAAAAAAAAGAATTACAGTGGCTCTCTCTTTCCAAGCACTCTTAAGGTCGCAGAGCCCTCTCTGGATTATTGAAAAGGTAATTCTGTGTGGTTGCCTGCTTTCTTTGTCATTTTCTTGAGTTATTGGAATGGTCAGACTTTGTGAAACCAGCATTAGATCACTAGCTAGGATAGATGGCGACAGGAAGGCTTTATATTCTCCTGATAAAAAGGACATGTTCCCCACCTTCCTCCTTCCTTTAGCCTCGGATGCAGTTTCAATGCTTAAACCTCAAGTTGACAGGTTAGTGGTGGTGGACAAAGATTCTGAAGCCACAGTCTGCTTCCATCAGGTTTCTTGTCTGCTTTAAGCCATTGTTGATTGGCTTTCTTTTACTTGTAGCTAAATGCATTCATAATTGACATACCTGCCTCAAACCCTCTATTTTAGAATAGTTTTAGATTTGCAGAAGTGTTTTTTCTTACTTTTTTCCAGAATGCTCTTCTTGTTATCATAGATGCAGTATATTTTATTTCATCTGCGCAAATAATAAATAAGTTACCTGAATGATGAAGGCTTTGAGATCCTACAGTCAGTTCCAGGTGTCCCAAGGTTTTATTCCACATTTTTCAAAGAACATGTCTTTTCTTCCTGTCCTGGTGCACGTCAATGTGGCTGCCAAGAATGGCACCCAGAGGAGTCTTACTGGTAACCTGGTGGTGGTCTTCTTATGAGCCCACCAGTGTCCTTGCCAAGGGTGCTATGTCCCYAGGTTTCCCTGGACTGACACTGCTAGTCCTGGCTGGACTGCATGGGTTTCACACGGTGGTGGAGGCAATGGCATTTCATGGCTCCAAGCCACACATGTGGTCACTTGTGCCCAGGATGTGGGACTTGCAGTATTGTAGAGTCCGACTTCCTGTGAGCAGCTGCAAGCCACCATGCACAGACAGTGGGGCAAGCATCAGCTTTGAGGCATGGCTGTCTCAGTCCACACGGGGGGGCGGGGGCAGCGTTTTCTTGGGACAAACCTACTTTGCTTGTTCCTCTGCTTCCCAGCCTCCAGCCGTGGGCCCCATCAGTGCATGGCTGCGTCTCTCCCATGTCTCGGACTTACACTCATTCCCTGGAGTGGCCGTCTGGGTTCATAGCTTCAGGTACCATCCCTGGGCAGGTGGCCATGGAGGGAGCACACTCAGTCTCCCAGTCTGTCCAAACACTGCTCAGGGCCTCCATGCAGATGATACAAAGCTGATCCTTAACGTGATCCAGAGGGAATCTCAGGACTGCCACCAGCAAAAGAGACAGTCCTCCCTTCCCAGGCTCAAAGCCACAGCCCCATGAGATGATGGAAAGGAGCCAAGGGGCTCCGGCTGGTGGGGAGGGGAGCCCCTGGACACAGGTGGGGAAGCCCCTGGACACAGGTGGGGAAGCCCCTGGACACAGGTGGTCTTTCCTTGAGTTTAACATAGGGCAGCAGTCCTACACCTACAATTCCTTCAAGAGAAGAGAAAGCACATTCACCCAAAAACCCATATGCAGATATTTACAGCAGCCTATTCCCAATGAACAAACCTTGAAGCAKCACATCCTCCAGCTGCTGAGTGGCTGATCAGACCACAGTAAACCCATTCAGAATTCCACTCAGAGGAAACAGGAGCACACTGCGCATGACGACCTGATATGGGTTCATGACGAATATCATATGGGTTCTGCTAAGCTGAGGACGCCACACAGTTCCACGGGGCATGGAGAAGCCAAAACTACCAGGGCGGAGCACCGATCAGTGGTTCCCAGAGCCTAGGAGTGGGAGGATAGAACCCAAAAGGGAAGGGGCTTGATTTGTTTATAGGCAGCCCTAGGGATTGAACTCAG